ATTCTTATACATTTTTCAAGTTCTACATTTGTGGGACCATTTAGTTCAATAAAGTTAAGAAAAGAAATTGATCCAAAGCATTTTAAAAGACTACAGAGAAGACGTTTGCTTCAGAGGAGGATTGGGATCGGACTTTGGACTCAATCAGAATCCAAATCATTTATGACAGATAAAAGATTTTACTTCAACTAATAGCGTCATGTTTACTGTGGCTAAAATACCTTTATCTCCTCAGTAAACACAAAGATTGTACCATACACAATTTATACACATGACAAGAGTCGATATAAAATGGCTCCCTTTATATTTCCTTCCTTACCATGTTTTCCTTTTATATTTCATGACCGGTCAATCTGCACTGGAAAAAAAAATCAAACTCTAAAGAAGTCATTTAAAATAAGCACATTTAACCTTGAATTGAGGAGCTAAAAGATTTTGCCTCTCATTGCCTTATTTCTTTTCAAGTACATTTTATCTAATTATCGTATTTTAAGAGTAAAAATACTCTTTCCATTGGCAAATCACCTAGTTTACCTACTCAAATTAAGGATAAATACACTTTATTTAAGAAATATTTACTTCTTTCTAGGTCGTTTTCCCAGTGTGGTATCATGTTTCATCTGGCAGGATTATCAGACCAAAAATATAAATATTAAAGATTTATGAATTTGGGACTTTGCAGGAATTTCCATTTGACTTTTTTTTTTTTTTTTTTGGCTGGAACTTCTGCTGTTATTAAAATCAAAACCAGACAATTTCACCACAAACTGGGTTTGTTTACAAATGACGTCACACCGAACCACAGAAAAAAAACTTTTACTTTCATTTTTTTATTTATTTTACACCAAATATCTAACTACATTCTTTTTTTTAAGAGTAAATATAATCAATTTCAAAAACTTTTTTAGAAAAGTTTGGACAGACATTTAAATAAATATGATTATTACTCAACTGTAATTACAGACACCTACCTGAACTTCAATTCTGCCAAGTTAGGACACTTTAATTAGGACACAACTATTAGTTTTTCTCTCATCAGTTTTACTTAGGCCGAATGATAGTTTATCCTATATTTAATAAAATGTAACCAGAGTTAGTGTTTTAGTTTAGCAAACGTAACGAAAAAACAGAAAGAAGTGTTGAATCGAGCCTTTGGTTAACCGAGTCCGGCTGTAGAGTCTGGAAAGTACCCCAGCCTGCTAGCAGGCTAGACGGGCTAACACCAGGCTAATTCTACAAGTTTCTAAACGGCGAAAAATAGAAAAACTAACTTAAAACAACAAAGAAACCAGATCCGGATCGGCTTCCAACCAGTTTAAACTTACCTGGTTAGCAGTTAGAAACACAACCGACAAGTTTAACCGACCTGCTTACCTGTTAGAGGCAGGAGAGCCACCGCTAAGACGCAACGGCTAACTCAGCGATGAGTTACTGTTGGTTAACTAGCAGCAGGCTGAGCCCTCAGGCTACTAACCGGTTAACAAGTTAACATGACGAGGTTTCAACATGGAGGAGCAGGGGGATAAAGTCAAAGTAAAGACGAAGATAAGAAGTGAACCAGGAAGAGTTTTTATAACCACACACTCACACCCACAACACACACTCACCCATACACTAACACACACTCACTCACACCCACACACTCACACTTATACCAACACACAGCCCTGTGCAGATCGACTCACTAGAGGTGGGAAATAAAGACAGAATATTAAAAGTTCTCAAGTTTTCATCAAATCCAGACAGAGGCGTAGCCAGAACATTTTAACCAGTGATGTCAAAAGTACACACATTTGCAGAGGTGTCAAGTAACGAAGTACAAATACTGTACTTAAGTACACTTTTTTGGTATCTATACTTTACTCCAGTAATTATTTTTCTTCCTACTCATTACATTTTCACAAGTATCTGTACTTTCTATTCCTTACATTTACAAAAACATTTATAAATGTTTTATTAAATATTTTATAAAAACATTTATAAAACATTTATAAATATTTTATAAAAAAAACATTTATTTAAATTTTTTATAAAAACATTTATAAAACAGACGTTACTCGTTACTCTTGGCTTCGGTTTAATGCTCATAAATATTTATTTTATCTGCGCCATCCAATGCAGATCATTGGCTTCATCCACATCTACTGAAAACGAGTGGAATCGGATGAGTCATATAAAGCATTTGTAGTTTCTCTGTAGTTTTTGGAGCACATACTTTTTCACTTTTACTTGAGTAAAGAGGTCAAGTTGATACTTCAACTTTTACCAGAGTATTTTTAAAACTGCAGTATCTATACTTCTATTAAAGTAACAAATGTGCAGTGGTGTCAAAAGGGCACATATTTGATACTTAAAAGAAGGGGGCTGGTGGATTTTTATTTTATTTTTTTGGAAGCAAACATAGCCTAATTAATATAGTCTAGTCTAAAGCAACATGCATGGTATGGTTGTTAGAATTCAGTTTTATATAGAAGAAATCTCACTGGATGAAATGGACTGGGCCTCCACACCAGAACCATGGATAAAACCCCAGAAACATAACGACACATATTAAAGCAAGGCCCTCAGCATGGGCCAATGGTGTGACTGCTTAGGGCCCAAGGGTAACTAGAGGGCCCCAAAGAAACATTTATTGTTTTTTTTTTTGTATGTATAATGATTTCTATATTAATGCAGTAGAAATGGAGATGATATAATAATTAAGTAACCCTGTAAAAGAGAAAAAATTTTCAACATTTATTTCACATTTTAAATTAATCTGTATATAAAAACTCATAACCTGAATTAAATTATCCCAACTAATGCACACACATATAATCTGATAAAAACCTGAAAACTTTCATGTTCCATCTTTATTTCCCCCCTTCAGCGTGTCTGTTTGTGTTCCCTGTCTTGGCATCACAGTGAGGACAATTTCCTGGTCTTCTAGAGCTTTTTTGCAAAGGCTAAAGTTTAGGGCTAAGGTGTGCATTGAGTTTGGTTTAAGGCGAGGTATGAATTGGTAATGGTTAGGTTAATGGCTGCTGTCAGAGTTTGAGCATAGACAGGGTTAAAAATAACTGAAACTAAAGAGGGAGGTCAACACATGGTCCTCACTACATATAGCAAAATCAGAATGCATGTGGTGATAAAACTCTTCCTGGCTCTAATCTTATGTCAGCCTTTACTTTGAGAGATAGATAAACTAACAGCTGTTTTGCTAAGTGGTTAACTAGTTCACTACTTTTGCAACTAATGGATTATTATAAATAGTCATGTAGCTAATAGATGCCTAGTTTTTTTGTTGTTGTTGCATTTTTAACCTGTTAATCATGTCGTGTTCATGGGACGTCTGTGGCTCACTCTGCCACAATAAGGCTTTCAACGCTTTATATATCAGGGTATGCCCTCCAAATGGTTAAAGAACAGCAGCTGATTCAATTTATGCTTTTTCGTGCGTTTCAAATTTGTTTTTGGTAACTTTGTTACATAGTGTCACAGTGGGTAGCATTGCTGCCTTGCAGGTTTCAGGTTCGAATCCCGGCCCCGGGTCCTTCTGCGTGTTTGGATTTTCTACCTGTGCAAGCATGGGTTCTCTCTGGGTACTCCGGCTTCCTCCCACAGTCCAAAAACATGACTGCTAGGTTAATCAGCTTCTCTAAATTCTCCTTAGTGTGAGTGCAGTGGGAAAACGATCTAAAAATAAGTAAATATTTCTTAAATTAAGTGCATTTACTCTTAATTTGAGTAGGTAAATGAGATGGTTTGCCAATGAAATTAGTATTTTTACTCTTAAAATAAGATAACTGGATAATATGCACTTGAAATACAACAATACAATTGTGTTTTCTTATTTAAGTGTAAATTGTCTTGTTCAATTGGCAGGGTTTATCAATAACCTCCTCAATTCAACAACAAATGACCTTATTTTAAGAAAAAATCACTTATCTAGATTTCATTATTTTCCAGTGATAAATGGTTGTTTTGTTGTGTGTGTCTCTGTGTTGCCCTGCGATGGACTGGCGACCTGTCCAGGGTGGACCCCGCCTCTCTCCCACTGACAGCTGGGGATAGGACCCAGCACCCCCACAACCCCAGCAGGGATAAACGTGACAGAAAATGGATGGATGGACTTTGGTCAGAACCAGGTGAAGCTAAAACTAGAATTCAAGATGGAGGGTATTTATGAAGAAAGAGGATATTTCATTTTAAATGGAAAATGTTTATTTGTACAGTTTTGGTTTAATTACTCCTCTGTCTAGGTTAATCTTTCAGCAAATGGCATATTTTATAGCCTGTATATTGCAGGTAACTATATGATTACTAAATTGCTTAAGACATTAATAAGACAGAAATCAATAAATAGATTTTAGACAGATTTTATTTGTCATTTTGTTTACACAAGTTTTTAAAAAAAAATTTCCTTTAGAAACAGCTCACTGGACCATTTCATCTTTTTAAAAGTGCAGCCTTGAAAAATAGTAAAAATAGTTTTTAAAAAATGGTAAAAATGACTGTAAATGTACCATGAAATATTACAACTCAACATTTATTTATTCAATACATGATTAGAATAAAAAATACACCTTTACCCCCTCGAATGTCCCAGTAAATAAGAAAGTATCTATTCAAAATTGTATGTATTTACTGCACTTTAAATGTCATTTTATAAATTAAAATATTTCAGTAAATATACAAGATTTTATGATAGAATAATAATTTACGAATAAATAATAAAAAAAGAATAAAAACATAAAATATATACTTGAAATTATTTAACCGTCATTTAGTAAATATGTTTGAAAAGTTGATAAAATCACAATACTGTATTCTTTTTTATCTAAATTGTATTTATTTTATTTAAAAATTATAGTAAACATAGCATAAAATTAAGCGCTGACATCTGTAAAATGAAACTATTAAATGTCACATTATTTAAATTCATTTGAAAATATTTAAATCTTATTTTAAAAATGTGTTTAATAAAATTTGAATGTAATCACTGCAGAATTACAGTAAATATACCATAAGCTAAAAAATTAATACCTTAAACACAAAAAATTAATTTAAAATGATTAATTCAATGTACATTTTAAAATAATCCTTCTTTATTTGTATATAAAGTGAAAAAAGTATTTGTATTTTTGCGTTTCACCAGTCTTTTTTATTGTTAGTTCGGGGCTTGATGCAGTTTTGTACATAGATTTTGACCTCCTCTGAAAGTGTTATCCTATATCAGTGTCGGTATAAATGGTTCCTGTGAAAACAGTCGGTGGGTTAGAGGTCGCTGCCAAACCCTCTTCACTGGGCTCAGACCACCGAGGCTCATCCACAGCGCCTGACTAGCAGATCAAATCAGAACCAGTTCTCACATCCCTGCTAGGAATCCATAAAATTGAACATTTGGATTATTTCAGGTTACAAGAAGCTGCTGTGACTAAATCATCCCATAGGTGAATATATATATAAATCAGGTTCGGACTGGTAATCTGTGGTGGGCTAAGGACCACTAAATCCTAATTAGGCCGGTTCTAATTGGAGGACCGGCCCTCCTTAAATCATACCGGTCCCTTTACTCTCTGGCCGAAGCTCCTACCTGTGACAGTTAACAGCTCAAGGATCTCAAGAAGTAATCCAATGTTAACTCCCTAAATGATGCATGCAGTATATATAGCCCTTCCTTGTCATGCACATCCTTGTGACGGTTGGCATATGGATCATTTTCTATTTCTTCAAACTGTAAAATCCTTGCAACAAACTAAATTATATATGTTGCGGTGCATTATGGGTTTTTGCTAAAGGCTAACGTTCCCGTCTTATGTGCATTGTTGCCAGGTTGGGATGTTTCCCAATCTGGCAGTTTACGATGGCCGCCTATGGGTAAAAAATGGTTTTCCTTAGATTTATGGCCTAAGAGATCAATAGACTTTGGTTCTATTTGGGCGAGACTTCGTATATCCAGGCGGCTTATGAACATTTCTTGGGCTGGAGTGTGGATGTTATGCAGCAGCAGTCACTGCCGCATCCATGTTAATAACCAAAGCCAGTAAAACCGCATTATAGAAGTCTTGGTGATGGCTGTCATGTGATGCTTGAAGATTGATTGGTAAATCCACAATGTGTCTTCATACGCGCTTGACTGTCCATAAGTGGGCCGGTGTAGATGGAAAAATGCCAGGGCTGAAAATCATTTCCAGTCCGAGCTGAGATAGATATATAATCCATATATATATATATTTTTTTAATTCATCTATTGTATCTTTTTGTTTTCTGATATAAATCAATACAATGTGGTGAATAGCCCCACTCCCCCCAATATAACACAGGCCCTGTCAATCCAGCCGGATCATCTAATGCTGGCAGATTCAAAGCACAGGGCCTCTATCCGCTGCATGGTGAGTTATGCAGCAGGTTAATTAACTTTTCCCACTGATAAAACTTCACTGGTAGAGAAATTGGTTCTTCCTGTTTTAGTGGTGCTTTAGGGGTCTTTAACAGGCCGTCCATCCAGGAAGAACCAAGATTTTACAGAAACCAGACATGTTTTACCAAGAGCAGGCAGGTTGAGCTCCTTGCGTTAAACCGATTAATGCTCGATTCACCCAACAAGAAAACATTAAACCTTTACTGCAGATAGTTAGAGCAGTAGGAGGTTTGAGCCCTTACAGCCAGCACGGCCTGCAGAGGTCATAAGGATTCAGATTTATCCTACGGTTCAAAAAAAAACTTTTGAGTATCACCTTAAGATTTTTACTTTAAGTGTAAAAGTACCATTTATAAAACTACTTAAAGTATAAAAGTAAAAGTAATGCAGGACAAAATGTTAAGGACAGATGCTTTACTGCACTAGCCCATTTAAGGAACATTTCTTTATACTTAAGTTTCTAAGTTTTTTAACTTCATCCATTATCTGACACGCTTGTCCCAAATTGGGGTCGCGAGGGGTGCTGGTGCCTATCTCCAGCAGTCAATGGGTGAGAGGCGGGGTCCACCCTGGACAGGTCACCAGTCCATCACAGGGCAACACAGAGACAAACAGCACAAACAACCACTCACACCTAAGGACAATTTAGAGAAGCCCATTAACCTTACAGTCCTGCTTTTGGACTGTGGGAGGAAGACGGAGTACCCGGAGAGAACCCACACATGCTCAGGGAGAACATGCAAACTCTATGCAGAAAGACCCCAGGCCAGGAATTTAACCCAGAACCTTCTTGCTGCAAGGCAGCAGTGCTACCCACTGCTCCACTGAGCAGCCTAGTTTTATAACTTATGGCAACAATTTTCCAATTATCTGTGCATCATGTTGAAGTTATTTTTGTATGTGGCAAACAAGTTGGTGCAGTAGAGTCCAACCACAGAGAAACTGTCTGAAACAATTATTTTTTTAATAACAGGCCATAACAAAAATGAGGTTAAATGAAACAGTCTATTTTTAAAAGATCTCTTCACCGACTGTTCTCCTCATCTTCAAAGGATTCTAACATAATCAAGGGTCCAACATGTTTCAGATGGATTTTTATTAAAAACAAAATAATTCAATCATGATTTTTTTTATTTTAGCTGCAAAGAGAAAAACCAAACCTGTCATATTCACATGAAACCAAGCAGAAATGAAGGAAAGGGCTCTATGTTTAACTCCACTACTTCCTGATCCTGCTTCCCGTCTTTTATTACGGCATAAACTTATTAATCGAGGTGTGCCTACCTCCGTAACCATGACGACAAAGGCAAGACACACCTGGATTATTCACCAATAAAAGACAAAAGTAAGGCGCTGCCTTGAGTAGAGGGAGCGGTAGAGATGTGCATCGATGCCATTAATACAAGCCTGGAATAAAAAGCTCCAAAATGTTTCCTAACTTTTTATTTTACTCTCAGCAACAGGAACATTCCTCCAAATTCCCCTTGGCTGCATTTACACTGGAAAAACAATCTAGAAATAAGTACAAATGTCTTAAATTAAGTGTATTTAGCTTTAATTTGAGTAGGTAAATGGGAGTTTGCCAATGGAATGGGTATTTTTACTCTTAAAATAAGATAATATATACTTGAAATAGGACAAAGCAATTGTGTTTTCTTATTTTAAGTATAAATTGTCTTGTTCCATTGGCAAAATGTCTCTTTGACCTCCTCAAAAAACAAATGCACTTATTTTAAGAAAAATGACTTATCTAGATTTAGATTTTTTCCAGTGTAGCTCAGTAAATCCTCAGAATATTAGAATAACAGCAAAAGAAACATTACTAATCAAAGAAAAATACTTTTATTGCAGCCAACATGTTTCATATAAGACATCGTTTCAGTGAAATCTCACCCTAGAAAAGTAAATGTGTCCATCTGCACCAGATGCGCCCGTCTCCACTGATTCCAAAGGGCCTCAAATGGCCCCCAGGCTGAAGACCCCCCCCCATGAAATCAAACTCACCAGGGTTGGTGTTGGATGATGATGACACAATTTTATTGCAATAAACAGTGGGAACAAAAAAAAAAAAGAATCGGCAGGTTAAGAAAAAAAAAAACGTTTTCCTTTCACTGTCCCGCTAAAGAAAAAAAAAAACAAACAAAAAACCGCTCTGTCAGACTGAAACCGAACCCAGACTGGTCCTGATCCGCGCGGACTGGCAGAACTGGACCTAGTTCATCAAATCAAAGAAGCACACGTTACAGTTGGAGCTACAAACCAAAGATCCAGCTTTATTGGACAGGAAGAGTTTGGACTTTACAACATTTATCTCCGTGGAAGTCTGCGTCTGATCCACACTGAATCAAACAAAACCTCTAATTTCTTCTTCTGGGGTTGGCAACAAGGCGTGTTAGCGCCACCATCTGGTCGGGAGTCTGTGGCGGCGGCTTTAAACGAGTCAGTGCTGCATTCAAAGACAGGTGGAAGCAGAGTCGGGGAGAGGAGACGCAGCACAGAAAGAAGGGGAAAAAGAAGCAGATATGAATTTAAACAGAACAGTTCAGAACCAATTCAGAACCTCTTTTTCTGTCCTTCATTAGCCATCCGATCAGCAAAACCTCCAAAACGCCAGAAATCTGAAAATCAAATAGAAAAATAAATGGGAGAAAAAAGGAAAACCTGCTGATCTTCAGGGTTTCTGTTCAGAACCGCTTTAAGATCAGAGCTGAGCAGGTTTACTCCGATTTTGTAGATTCTCCACCGAGAACCTTTTCCTCTAGAACAGGAGTCTGCAACCTTTTCAATTTCAACAGCCCCTTTTGCAACAGAGGCGTCAAAATGAAATCTGGCCGAAATAAAGAGTTTATTCATTCATAAATGCAGAACTTAAATGATGGTAATTAGAAAGACAAGAACCAAGGTTTGCCCCTTAAAAAGATAAAAGAAGACAAGTTACTACACTAATATTTAAGATAATTGATTATCGGGTTCGGTTAGAACTATGTGTGGTTCTGGAGCCGTAGGCTGCAGATTCCTGCTCTAGAAAAAGAGCAGCTCCAGTTCTCAGGGTGGAAAAGCAGAACCAAGCAGAGCTGTGATTGCTGCACCTAAAAGCCCGACATTCCTTAGTGTTCTCAAACACACTATAGGAACCGGAACCAGAGAACTGGGTTCAGTTTGCTCCACACTGCAAGAAATCTGCAGACTACTTGAATCTGGATTCAGACACGTTGCTCATAATGTTTCAGTCCGCGGATCGATGCTGGTTTATAAACAGAAACCAGGTCGTCTGCGTGTCGCAGTGAATGCAGATGTGCCTCCGCCCCCTTCTACAGACACGCTGCTGCACCTCTCCACAAATGTAGGTGACCTCAGACAGTGCCGCAGACAGGAGGCCTCTGATTGGTCAAATCTACATCCGCTCTACACTTCCTGTTCCTGTTTGGTGCAGCAAAACCTTACCGGCTTGTTTTGTTTGTATGACCGCCATTGTGTAAACTTGTTGAGTTTGGCGCGGTTGGAGGGGGGGGTTTTGGGCCACGGTTTTGGCCTTTTTCCATCTTGATCCCCGCTCTTTTTGCCCTCATGTCATTCCGTTGCCCCAACTTCCTCACCGCCTCGGCCATATCTAGACCCACAGCTAGTTCCTGATTGTCCCTCTTGCGTTGTAGCGTGGAATAACAGCGCAGACCACGCTTCAAAATTGAGCATAAATCAAAAATGTCTGCAACAAGCTCACTGCGACACTCTGCTGAGGGAGGCTAACCAGCCCTTCAGTCTCTGTGGCTGAACATCCCGACCCTGATCTAACTGGGTTCTAGTTCTGGACCAGATCAGGTTGGCTGATGAGGAAGAACTGGAGCAGATTTAGGATCCGGGTCAGGATAAGAACCAGTACCAGCGCGTGATTCGAAGCGGTTCTACACCCACCTCTGTCTTTGCCGTTTTCCCAGCGGATCTTAGGGATCCCACAGCGGAGGACTGGGAACGTTCTTTTAGTTTTCAGTGTGGATCAACGGACCAATCAGAGCAGAGATTCTTTCCTCTGTGTGTCCCATTCTGAAACCTGACTGGACACAACCAAGTGTAGAAAGCCACACCCCCCACCAGTCACCTGTGCTTCCTTCAGTTTCAGGCTCTCTTAAGACTTTATTTCATTTCTTTTGTCGGTTACAATTTCCGTGACATTCTGGGTTTTTTCCACCTTTCTAACAAAGGACCTGAATGCAGCGTTTCTCAGCAGCGTGAGAATGAAATCCTGCAGACAGTGAAGGCATCGTTTCTTAGCCCTCCACCTCAACAGGTGGGAACACATTGTAGGTGTGTTACTTTTGTTCCTTGAGGTGGAGCCTGTAAGTTAAACCCCGCCCCGTCAGGAGTAAAAAAAAAATAAAAGTCAAGCAGATAAATAAAACCTGAAAAACATGACCAGTCACCATGGAAACGTTAAAAAAGGAGGGACAGGGGTGGAAAAAAAAAAGTTATCTACACTTGGACCAATGAGGTCTCAGGGGTAAGTCTGGTGCAGGTCTGACCTGCTGGGGGGAGGGGCTACAGGAGGATGCAGGTATGACATCACAGTAAGCAGAGGTGTGGTGGCGGGGCAGAAACCAGAGATTGGACATGCATCGAGCTGCTCGCTGTGTTTACAGGTTGGTTATGGAACAACAGAGTGTCTGAGAGTGTTTCCCAGTTATTCCCGCTAAGAATAAATATTCTGCTCAAACAAAGAGAGGAAGAAGAAGGAGGGGGGGAGGTCAGCGTCCACTCGCCGTCCGTCCGTTTGGCTTTCTGAAAGAATGTTAACTGTCCCCCTTCAATCGTCCTGGTTTGTTTTGGTTCGTTTTTTTAACCCAAAGTACAACTGACTGACCCCCCCACCCCTAACCCACCCTCCTCCCCTCTGTTACCCCCCCACCCCCACCCAAAGGCCTTCAGTCTCTTATGGTTTTTCCTTTGAGATCACCTCTTCTCGCGGCTTGGCTCCGCCGAAGATGGCGGAGTTGGGGTTGGCGACCTGGTTGAGCGGTTCAGAGACAGTCCGAGGTTTCAGCTGGAGGCGGGGCCGCTGTGCACGCTCCTCTGCAGACACAGAAACACCGACGTCAGCATCAACCCAACGGTCACAGATACAAGCACTTATTTTGAAGTCAATCCAAGCCTTTTATTTTGAAAGTCTGAAGTAAGGATCCTAAAAATAATGAACTAAAATAAATCTATTTAAAAATGAATATAATTTGTTTATATTCATGAATAAATATGAACTAAGTAGTTATAAATATATATGCATTTTTATTTTTGGGGGCAAAGCTGAGATGTTTGTATGATCGATAAACTCCAATTATCAAAAAGCAAAATTGAATTTCCCCAGGCTGAGACAAAAGGATTCTACTTTAGAAAAGCAGACCTATTGAAAGCCTGCAGAGTTTATCAACCTTTGTGAATCCATCAGTCACGTCCATCTTTTAGAGTCAAACGGATGATTTCAAGCTAGAAACAGTAGGTGGCGCCACCTTCAGATGGTTCTCTGAAGTCTGTCGTTGCCCCGCGGGGTGGTGGTCCCTCTCTGAAGCGACCCATTCCTCCACCTCCCCGCGGCCTCTCGCTGGGACGACTGCTGCCCCCTCGACCCCGCCCCCCCATGTAATCGTCGTCTCGGAAACCTGCGGAGAAGAGCAGAAAGGTGAGGCGGCCGAGCAGCGCAGAAGCGCGGCATGAAGATGAAGTGATGGGAAAGAACAGAGGTTCACTGCCACCTGCTGGACGCTTGGAGCAACTCAATGCTTCTTCATTAATTCACTAATAATGATTAGTTTAGATTTCATTTTTGTAGGGAATTTCAAAAAGGCCTTTAAAATGACTAGATTATTCAGGTTTATTAGTCGGGTACACCCTCCTGCCGTCTGATTGGAGGAAGCCTAGCTAGCTGCCTTCTGATTGGCCAGCTGGAACCTCCCACTAAATCATCTGACCCCACCTCCTCCTTGCTGGTCGTAGAAGTCGTCTCGCGAATCCCGTCCTCCGCCTCCTCCCCGGGGACCTCCTCGAGGACCTCCTCGTCCTGCAGATGACACGGGAGTTTAACACCGACAGGAGAAGAGAGGAAAGGAAGGAAGGAAGGAAGGACGCAGCAAAGGCAGAAAGGTAACGAAGGGAGCAACGAGGAGAAGAGAAGCACCTTAGAGGGCAAGAGAAGAAGGAAGGACTATAAGGAGGAGTGGGCATTTCCTTCTAAAGGCAGCTAAAAATGCAGCGAGGAGGCGGAGCTTGTTAGTCAACTGTCAGCCAATCAGAGGCGTTGGAAATAAGCGGCAGTGAAGCTCTGAAGAAAGAAGCCGTTATTGGACATTCAGAGGAAAGAAGGTGAAGAAGTGAGGATGAGGAGATGAAAGAGGAGAAGTTTGTCCCTCTTAGTACCAACAGACAGAAGCAGACAGCTTTATTTTTCCTCTTTTCTTTCTTTCTTTAGAAACATACCAACTATGTGAGTCAATCTGCTGTAAACCTGTTCTTACAGGGACACTTGGTTTCATTATGTCAAAGAACAAACAGGAAAACTCTGATTTTCTGGGTCCTATGAGTGGGATCTGGTGGCTACAGGAAGCAGCGCAGGCCAATACTGATTCACCGCAGACCAGTTAACAGCTGACAGAAACAATTCTGTTTTTAAAAAGCTACTGATAGGTTTCATTCAGATCTTAGGATGCTGGATGCTTGCTGGGTTTTTTTTCTTGGTGTCCATCTCATGTGTTCACCCCATCTTAGCCATGTCAGGTTTTAGGGAAGGAGAGGAATCTGGTGATGTGGTTCTCATCTGGGATATTAAACTTTATCCTGAACTTTTTAACAGATTTTTTCCCCCATTGCATCAGTGAAACCTGAAAAAAGCTGCCCTCAGACGGCACATCAGAAAACCTAAAACTGAAATTCTATTTATTTAAAAAATAACATAAAAAAAACATTTGATGAGGCCGTCACAACGACGTCTACATGTTGGGTTTTCCGGCTTCATTACATGCAGCATCGCACTAGAGTCCCTGATCTCCGGGAAAAGTTAGCACCCATATGTC